TAAAATCAAAGAGAAATGATTTTCATACAGTTTGCGCTCACATTAAGATTAAACCTTTGAACCCAAGTACAAAACCTTCCACTAAAATAAGCCAAGCGGCATACGTTCCTTTGGCATTATAATCTCATCCAGTCTTTACAGTATAAAAATTGATCTTTCTAAACGTCAGAAAACATCCTTCTCCGAAACAACTCCCTGACTACTTAAGCAGCCAAATGTACTTTTTACTCTACACGATGGAAAAATCTGAGTCAAATTTTTCTATCTTCTTCAACTCTTATGACGAACTCCTTACCGAATTTAAAAACTAAACAAAAATTGATACTGACCCTTTGAAGAAAGAAGAAAAGGCTGTTGCAGCCTTCATTAGTGGAAAACACACACTACAATGGTACATCGCTTTTCTTAGCCGAAATCAAAGCAATATACCTAGCTCTGCAATATATCGAAAGCATACGTATATTTAACAGCATTATAATCTTTGACTCACTATCAGTACTTCAGTCACTACACATTAGAAAACTAAAAAGAAAACTATTATTAACCACCATTCTCATCAAATATACTCAGCTGAGTACCTCACACAATATAGCATACTGATGGTTACCCAGTCATAAGGATATTAAAGGTAATGAAAATGCAGATCGCGCTTCTAAAATGGTAGTATCCCTAGAACAATCTAATTTTAAAATGCCGTATACTGATTTTAAACCTAGTATCAAAGAGTCGTTACGTCAGAAGTGACAGGCATCGTGGAATTATACAGTCAATAGTAAAGGTCATGCAATTATGCTAACCCTAGGAAAATTGACTCCTTTCAACAGAAGCATCGATAGGGAGAAGGTAAGTCATTGCAAGAATTGGTCATATTTTTGTAACCCACTCCCACGTGCTAAAAGGAGACGATAGTACGTTTCTTGCAATGAACATATACACTTGCATATACACTTTATGATAGAGTGTTTTTGACTCACAAAATACGCGCAATCATTTCAATGCGCGTGACATGAATGAACTTTCTGAAATAATAAGCGTCTCTTGTAATATAAAATTAGTGGAAAAAAGTAAACATTTATTCTAAACTAGAAATTTTATGATATCACTTTGAACATTTGTACGTAATGTATATACTGTTCTTTATATTCAATACCTTTTCATCTAAATCTTTATTAACAACTTCCATTTACATTCCACTTGGATGGGGAAGTTTTATATTTTACCTTTACCGTTTTATCGTTTTGCTTTTATAGCTTTGATTTTTTTAAATGTGGCATGTAAATATATCGCGGATTGACCATGATATTGCAATTGCACGAAGCCATATGGAAACACCATATAGAATCTACTATGTATTTGATCACGTATGTTACAATGGACAATCAACAGACATTTTAGAAATTATAAAAGCTAGAATAATTGCATGTGGTATTTTGAATACAAAGCATTTGCTCTTTTGTAAAATATCATTATGTGAATAAAGATTATGCTTTACTCATGAACAGAAAAGCATACTTGTGTGGAAACTTAGCATCCATGTCTAGAATAAAACTTTAGTGATCGATCTGTTAATGCGGACAATCCCATAATTTCTTCCTAATAGATTAGAGGTGTACGAGAAAGAATAATAGTGTATAAAAAACAAGAGTGTTTTAGGCTCAAAGCTGTGACGATTATATACTTTCTCTAAACGCCCTTTCTACAAAACGTTGTGGGCAAGATGTATGATTAATATATGTATTTCGCAAGATTTCTTCTCTTAATACAAACAGAAGAGATAGTCAGTTTATTGAGAATAATGCCATCAGGTCGAAACGTGGATTTAGTGGTAAAAGTCATCTGTTGATGGATTCATTACACATGTATATGTGATATAAATCCTGGAACGGAACTTTTGTGTTGTAAAACAGTGCAATAGAATAAAACCAATTCGTATCGGACAATCCCAAATAGAACATGAAATTAAAGAGAGAGAGAGAGAGAGAGAGAGAGAGAGAGAGAGAGAGAGAGAGAGAGAGAGAGAGAGAGAGAGAGAGAGAGAGAGAGAGAGAGCATACGATGTATTCACAGAGTAGATTTGCTCGTTGGAAACTATGCTTTCTTGTGCCGCCAATATCATCAAACAGTATAACTTTCTCTGATTAAAGTGCCAGAAGTCTTAAAGAAAGAAGTTTCATTCCTTTCTTTATGAACTGGATGAAAAATGAGTGGTACGTATCTTTAATTTACATTGTTTGTTACTTAGTTGGGTTTTTTTGTTTGCTTTATTTCATTAGATATTATTGTTATGTAAGACTGTATGTTGGACCTGACCTTGTCCAAAATTGATAATATTTAACCTGGACTTGACTCTTTTTAAGTTATTGTATAAACAGCTAATACATAGCCAAATTAGTGATATATATTATATATATATATATATATATATATATATATATATATATATATAAATCATATATATATATAAATCATATATATATATATATATATATATATATATATATATATATATATATATATATATATATATATAAATCATATATATATATATATATGAACTTTGCTGGACATGATCGATTGATAATGAATATAAGATTAAAGAGACAATAATCTTTTGAGATCATATCCTAGTTGAAACTAAAAAGTAAATTTACAGAGACAATGTTTTATTAATGGAATTTCAGTCGTTTTACATTCTGGTGAACTCGTTACTATTTTAGCACCAGAATTGATGGTGGAGAATTAGCATTACGTGATTGAAACACATACAGATCCAGAAAATTCTGCACTGATTTGTTTGTCTGTACACAGAAGCCATCAGCAATGATACGCATATGCCATTAAATACAGGATTGATCAAACATTCAGAAATTTAAAGTTTTTGAATTTTTAATATGGTGATTGGATATGTTTGCTGTTGAATTAGTGCTTTGAGTCAGATAAAGGGATAGATTGGAATAGACATCTGATGCGTCAACCTAATATATTTCGTTAGTCAGTCATGACTCCTACCCATATATGTGCAGCTATCCAGTTTCAATATAATGTCTGAAAAGATTTTTTTAAAAAAAACAACGAAAGCACTGACATGCCAGAGCAAGGCATGTCATCGATTATAGTCATGGTCTATCTCGCTTTATCTGTTGCGATAAAGTTACAAAAATATGCTTTCGGCACTATGGACTGAGCGATAGATCCCTCATTATTATTCAATATTGTAAATTGTGTGTACCTCAACATATGAGATAGTCATTGCGCAAATAGATTATTATGATGGTATATGAAAATTTGCTTTGAATTCTAACAGTCCTATTCTTAGATTTATTTGCTGTCGCTATTAAGTGGTATGTAGATCGATGATTGCATAAATGCAGTCGGCTTTTATCGACAAATCCTAAAGACTGTCGGCGGCTACAGGATGACATCAGCATTAAAGAAAATCGATAAATGTATCGATAAATATTGACCATTGTCGTTTCTGGATTCTTAGGTCTGATCCATAAGAGAGAGGCCAGGTTAAACATGTTTCGAAATTAAATATTTGATTTGTCTTTGAAGGTAAAGGGAAATATTAAAAGTATACAATTTTATGAGCAGTACATTGGACAAAAAGTTGCAATCCAACAATTAGTAATACTGTGTAATGATATCATGCTGGTCTCTTGATAAACAAACTCCACCATTTTGACATCTCTGTTAGTGTAATCAAATGAAGATTACATAAATGAACGTTAAGTCCTGCACAAACCCTTGCAAGTTTCAAACTTATTTTGATCAAGCCATGCCACTAATAGAAACGTTTGATATTTGGCACTGACATCTTTCTAGTGCATTGAGTATATATGAATGGATTTTAGTCTGAGATGGAATATGTCGTAGAAGCTGATTTTATTCGAGATTGTTTCAATTTCTTTCATTCTCCTGACCAATGTTTTGAATATAAATCAATTAGAGCTATAATAGTTGTATTCAAAGCGAACATTTAGATTTCTATAAAAAAATGTAATTGTTCAGTCAGTTATTACTCAAATGAAAGACGTGGCGAATATATCCTTTACATTTGCATAATGATCAAATGTTCAACTTTCTTTATCATCATCCTCATTTAGTTAAATATAGCTTTGTTTACAACAAAACATTATGCTTTTAGTATTGACGGTAATTCTTGGCTTGCTCTGAGCCATTAACACCCACATTGCATGGCGTTAAGAAGAGACTAATACCTCTTCGATAGATGGGTAATATGGTCTATTTAATTCCCTTTTCATGCTAATACTAGGTCCGGTGAAAAATTAACTTCTAAAGGTAACCATGTGTTGATTAAAACGTGGCATTTCACCTTTGGCACAAATATCAAGTTCAACCCAAATAAATATATATCAGAGATAAAATGTATTTATTAAATACAGTATATAAGAGAACAAATGTGATAAAATGGCATTTATTTACAGACTCTAAGAAAAATCAAGACTAAATGAATTCTAACAAAGGTAAATTAATGTGTGTTATGGTTAAAAGATTAAAAATAATCTATGCACATTCTTTCCATAAACCACCTCCATTTATATAAGTTTCTGCTGGTTGAGCAATGCGGATTGTGCAGTTTTGTGCACATTCCTTGCTTGTTACTATGTGCTCTCTGCTTTGATTTACTGAATGTGTCTCTAAGGTTAAATGATCAGTATTGATACAAAGTACAAAGGTGATTGTGACATAAGTGGCTTATATTTAAAATCTCTCCCTCACCATCTTTTTGGTGTGTGTGTGTGTGATTTAGATTTTTAACGTAGCTTTAACAATTTTTCAGTCATATCTCTACGATGTCTGCAGTGTGACAGTTTATAATGATGTCTAGCACTGGGGCATCATGCCGCAAATATGTGGCATGATTTTCCACCCAATCACATTATCCTGACACCAGGCCAACCAGTCCTAACACTAAACTCTTAATGCTGAGCGCCAAGCGAGGCAGTTGTTAGTACCATTTCTTAAAGTCTTTGGTATGCCTCGGCCGGGGTTCGAACCCACGACCTCTCGCATCTAAGGCGGACGCTCTAACCACTAGGCCACCTCTTTTTGTGAATTGTTGCATATATTAAATGGTATTTAACTATACAGGCCGAACTGTGGGCACCAACATATGAAATTCAGCCATGGGGCAATACTATTCTCTTTTTTCCCATAGCCTGATCTATCTACTCTACCTGTTCAGTCTAAATAACCCTTCCCATGTGTGTATTGTATACAATCTGTCTCCAAAACTACATGCAAACCATAAAAAGACTCCATTATGATTATCATACGCAAAAACCGCCAACATGATACCCTTGATGCATGTGGTAACCATGGAAACAAGAAGCTCATATTATCGTAAGGGTCGCATATAGGACTCAGGGTACAAATTCAGCCCCCATATTAAACATCTTGAAACACCATCATATTCAAAATTCAATAACTTAGAATCTCTGATGATCAGACGTATTTCTCCATGCACACCTATCCTTGTTGCAAACATCTCTGAGGAGAACACCATAAGAGCCGCGAAATTCATTATCTACGTGTGCATGAAACGCGTGTTATTGATTCTGCACCAAATGAATCAGGTGCTACTTTCATTATTGAGTACTCATAAGTCAAGTCTNNAAAAANATNNNNATATNNNNATATATANNTNTAT